GGCTAAGACAAAGAAACAGGACTGACCATTACTACTTCTGAAATAACAGGATTTTGCCAACCTTAAGAACACTGGAATAACATTGTTTGATATAGAACCAGAAAATTAGATCCTCAGGTTGGAAGGCACTCACAATGAAACTGGAGAAGAGACATCTTCTCAAAGTGGAGTCTTGGAGTAAAGCTTCACTCAGTGAAGGATTTCTTTTTTTTTAATTCATTGTTGCACATTTTCTCCCTTCATCTCCATCCCATCCCATAATGTACCCCTTGTTCCCAATTGCTCTCATACGTATAATGCATAATCATATATTCCTTTTGGCAGTTTTTCCTCTCATATGTTCTAATGCAGTTTTCATTTTCTGTTTACTCTTTCCCCAATCCTACCCCCCCCAATGTCCCATTTTATAACAGTGGGGTTGTGCAGTATTTGTCCTTTTGTGACTGAGATATTTTACTTAGCATGTCTTCAAGGCTCCCACATGTTGTATAATGTCTTACTATTTCACTGTTTTTCAATGCTGTGTAATATTTTATTGTATGGATGTACCGTAATTTTTCTATTCATTAGTTTGATGGATACTTGGGTTGCTTCCATCTCTTTACTATTGTGGATAATTTAGCAAAAAACATGGGTGTGCATACATCTGTTTAAGTTGTGACTCTGGTTTCTTTAGGGTATATTATCAGTAGTGGAATTACTGAGTCTATTGGTATTTCTACTTCCAACTTTTAGAGAAAGTGCCTTCCATAGTGGTTGCACCATTTTGCATTCCCACCAGCAGTGAATAAGAGTTCCATTCTCCACCTATGTTCATAGCAGCATTATTCACCATTTCAAGAACATGGAACCAGCCCAAATGTCCAATCATAAATGAATGGATTGAGAAATGGTACATCCACACAATGGAATACTATGTAGCACGTATGCAGCATGCAGGAGCGTGAGTTTGTAAGTTATTACCTAATTTGGAAGGGACTGGTGGAGAGCATTATGCTGAGTGAACTAACTCTGTCCCACAAGGATAAATATTTTATAAAACCATTGTTGTAGAATGAGTATAAGGAGCCAAGAGGGGATGGGAGAGGTTGAAAGTAGAGGGATGAGGATGTGCAGAGGGAAGGGGGATTAATCACCAGGTTGTACAGTTTGATGGGTGGGGGAGTGAGGGAAATTGAAAGAATTTGTTCTTGAAAACAATGTATTCAAATTTTGTAAATAGACTAGTAAAAAATTTTCAAAATGAAAAAAAAAAAAAGGAAGAGTTCCAATCTCCACAACCTCGAAAGCATTAGTTGTTTGCTGTTTTATTGAACTTTGCTATTGCTGGAGTGAGATAATATCTCATAGTATTTTTATTTCCATCTCTCTGGTAGCTAGGGATTTTGATCATTTCTTCGTTGTTTGTTTGCCATCTGAATGTCTTCTTCGGTGAAGTGTTTATTCATATCCTGTGCCTTTTTGTAATTGAATTGTTAACCTTTTTCTTGTTGAGGTGCTCAAGCATTCTATAAATTTTAGATATAAGTCCCTTATCAGATATGTCTATGCCAAATATTTTTTCCCAGTCTGTGGATTTCCTTCTTACCCTGGTAGAGAAGTTTTTTGATGTGCACAGGGATTTAATTTTTAGATGATCCCATTTATCTATTTTATTCTTTCCTGGTTGTAGGTCAGTGAAGGATTTTCATTTGCTGATGTAGCAAGATCCAAAATGAGGAGGAACAGCTGCAAACATCCATTAATAACTGGAACATGGAATGTAAGAAGTATAAAGTTGATGTTCCAGTCATTTTAAAATAATCCTCAGCAAGATTTTATTTGCATGTGGTATTATTTTTTGCCAGTGCTTTCAGAGTAGCTTGGACTTCTTTCTTCAGCATTACTGGTTCTTAATCATATGCCAATTTATGTGTGTAGTTTGAGTGCAGGTTTACACAACAATGGTATCTTACTCAGATATCCATACAGATTTAAGATTTTGTGGCATTAATAGTCCTTTTCTACTTCTCAGTGACTCTAGCTTCAGTTCATCCTTTTACGTCTTCCTACCTTCTCACCATCCCCAGTACTGCTCTTTTGGTCTTGGGTGTCTGACTGTTTTAAGGTATAAATACTTCCCTAGTGTTACTGTTTTGCCTTGTAAGAATGCCTGTTTGGATGAAAGTTGAAGTTAACCGCTGGGGTGAGTTTAGTCCAAGGCTCAAAATATTACTAAAGTTTATAGAACTTGGGGGATCCACCAGCCTCTTTTAAACCAGCAAGTATGGCCATTTTTGTAATTTTTAATTTTGTTCCACATTTTCCTCCCACTGTGCCCAGCACTCTCTGCTGTGATCCCTCTTAGAGTCATCAGTAGTGGAGAACCTGGACACTATCCAGTTCTTCTAGTTTTAGAGTAGTGACGGTTGAACATTGTGTGATCCATTAGTTCTTTGTGCCAGACAAAGAGAGACCCATAGTTCCACCTTGGATGACTTTTTGTAAACTTTTTTAAAAAGAAATTTATATTTTAATGAAAGTTTACAAAAAAACTTGGGCATATTTTTCTCCCTGAGTGAAATATCTTAGTCACAAAAGGACAAATTCTGCGTATTGCCACTATTGTAAAACAGGATTGACATGTGAGTTGGGGGAGGACTAAGAAAAGAGGGGATAAATAATGTACACTGCATTGAAACAGATGAGGGAAAGAACTGTTTAAAAGAAATATATGATTAGGTATTATTTGCATGACAACAGTCCACAATAAGAGGTACATAGCAAAGTGTAGTGAGGGGCAGGGAGAGGGAGGAAATTGTGCAACAATAGAAGAATCTTTTTAAAGAGAAAAGCAAACTGGGAGGGTAGGGAGGAAAATGTTTGTAAACTTTTAAGGACCACGCGCCCCCCCCCCCAGCTCTACTCTCAGATTTGTATTCAGTGCATTTAATCAAGGTTTACTTGGGGGTGGGGGATGTTACCTGGATGTCAGCATACTTTGAAGCTCTTGATATTTGTGTGTGTGATCACAATTTTCCAGGTTACAATTTGTGACTCACAAAACATTTAAAGTATCTTTTTCCTTTGAGTTTGGAGGTCCTTTTAAAAGTTCCTGTGTATCAGAAAAGTCAGTTATAACCTAGGAATCAACCCTGTTCATGTAATTTTCCTAATTATCCAGCCCAGACCCATGTATAGCTAGGTACTTAATTTTTGTTATTGTTTGTCTGAGAACGGTTTGTTCTGGCCTTTTGCTTATTCTAAGCCAAGCATTTGGATTTTTCTGTTGCTGTTATTTGGTATAAACTGTTCCAGAAATTAAAGCAAAAGGGCTTAACCCTGGGTTTTTGGTGTTCTCTTTGAAGAGTTTTGGGCACAGCAAAGTTTGATTCGTGTCTTTGTTGACACTAAAATAAAGGTAGATCAACTGGAAGTAAGTTAAAATAACTCTGTTTCAGTTATCTAATCAGTTATAACCAGAAAACATTTTTTCCCAAGTGCAAAATAGCTTTTAAAAAACCCTCAACTATTTAATCAAAGGGACCCAGCAGGTGGCATTAGGGACCCTAAGGCTTGTCTTAGACTAGTTTGGATTAGCTTTAGAAATGGTTCATTCTTCATGCGCAATAGGAGAGCAGGATAGGACTATGGCATCCGGCAGTGAGCTGTGTTTTGTTTAGGCTGTTGGTTTAATGTTGGCTTGCCCCTCTTGAGAAAGTGTCTGTTGGTTTACTAACAATAACAATAAGAAATAATATTTTAATAGAGCACTTCTAAAATGTACATTAGCCCATTTAATTTAGAAAGTAGATTTTTAAATATTCTAGTTAGAGTAGGTAGGAAAACAGCTTAGAAGAGTTAAAGCAGCCAGCTTCAAACAGCTTATAAGCATCAGAGGGAGAACCCCTGCCTACACTTAGTTCATTTCCCCTACCTTGTTTTGTCTTAGCAGTCTAAAGGTGGAGATTCCAAGGAATCTAGATACAGCATGCCCTTGCTTTTAAGAATTTTTTAAATCTAGCACAAGATAACATACAAGTGTTTACTTTTAAGTATAATGTAGACAAAAACTTGAGGGGAATGTTAAGTACAGAAAAGGACAAGACTATATCCAAATATAGGATCAACATTGGTATCATGATGGAGCCAGCATTTGAGGGAAAAGAACATTTTGAGAATAAGGGAAAAGAGTGCCAAAAAGCTTGGAGACAAGATAACACAAAGCTTGTTATGGGGGAGAAATTGATCTGGTTTGGTTAGAACGTAAGTGACATGAAAAGAAAGTAGTGGAAGCAGGAACTTCCCTATAAAAGACAGGACCAGATTATGAAAGGCCTTGAATGTTACAAGGAGAAAGAACTGCATTCTTTGAGTATTTCTACAAGCAAGAAATGAAAAACTATCTATGGAAGACCCAATAAAAATGATAATGAATGCTTACATTTTTAATTTATGACCTTATGGTCCTGTTAACATACATCTCTCATTAATACCTTACAGTAACTGTGAACTATGTTCATTTACAGATGAAAATTGTACCCCAGAAAAATTAATGTGCAGAAGTCACACTTCTGCGAGCGCTAGACTCAGATCCATCATATTCTAAAGTTTTTTCTATTTGCTACTCTAATTGTGTAATTTTTAAAAACCAGATTACATGATAAACTTAATCCATTATCAAGAATTTGGCTGTAGTAGGACATTTTCTTAGTGCCATGAGGACTTCTCGGTGTGTAATCATCTTCAGCATATATAATCACTCCCAATCCTGACTTTTACCTTTCGCCAATTAGGGGCCAGAGCTAGATGGGAAATTGAAGAGTTGGATGATGCTTTGTTTACAGGACTGATGACATCATTACATGCTCTCAGCAAAATGTTTTTGTTTTCATTTTCAGTGTCTAATTTCATTGCCCCTAGATAAATCTTTGGTTAGTCAAACTTAATTCCCAGGAGCATTTAAGATACATATGAAAGTGATATTTTTTTCTTCTCTAAAATATGCTTTTTCCCAGCAGGTTTTCTACTTATAAAAGACAATGACTACTGATGAAGGTGCCAAGAATAATGGAGAAAGCCCAGCAGCAGCTGTTGCAGAAAGAGGAGAGGATATTACCTCCAAGAAGGACAGAGGAGTATTAAAAGTGAGACTACGGGGGTAAATGGCATCTCAGGAAATGTTACTTTGAAAAGTTGCTTATAAAATCATTTGGGGATTGAGGGACTTGAAAAATAGGAGGTTTTATTCATTGATGTCTGCGAAGTGGCAAAGTCTACAGATAGTTTCTCATTTCATCTTTATAGCTCTGAGATTTCGTTTTAATCCCACTTATAGGTGGGAAAACTGGAAGTAAGCTAGTAAAATACTTTGCCAATATTATGTACTAATATTAGGTCCCAGTTTCATATGATTTTACAGATTACTGTTTCAATGTAATATTTGAGGATACTAAAGCTGGCTAAAGATAATTTAAAATAGTTTTTTTTAAGGAAAAATGTATCATAAGAAGTTGTAAAAGAATTATTTTTACATTAAAATAATGTTCTGATATACAGTGAAGATTTTTTGAAGCCTCATGAAAGAATGTATCTTGCTTTTGAATTTTTTTTCTCTTATTAAACACTGCATTTGTTTATCTCTCTGTAGTTAATAATTTTCACATATTTTTAAATCTGTAATGGTGTGTGAGGCAATCTGAACCCCTCTTGAATCTTTCGTTTTAAAAGTGAAAAACTGAGAGAGCTCTGGTGGCCTAGTGGCAAGACACTGCACTGTAATCCCAGAGGTTCGTGGTTCAAATCCACCAGTTGATCTGCTGGAGAAGGAGGGGGCAATCTCCTCCTGTACCAGTCAGATCTGATTTGACGGTACATGTATAAATAATACATTAAAAAAATAAAATAAAGTGAAAAACTGAAGCTGAGGAAAGTAAAATAACATTAGTCATAGTTAGGACCAGTGTTGTTTCCCTATAAAGGTTTAAATGTTGTTTTGGAGTGGTGTTTTGTGGGGGTTTTTTCCTTCTTTTTATTATACTAGTTTATTTTCAGAATTCAAATACATTGTTTTCCAGAACAGAGTCTTCCAATTTCCCTCACCAACCACCATCAGATTGTACAACTCCATGATTAATTCCCCCTCCCCCACCCGTCCAATTCCCTCAGTCATTTTTGTATATTTTTTATTTATTTTACTAAAAAAATTATCTTACATACTAATATTCTCAATATTATCATTTGCAAAATTTTACTGTCTTCTTTTGCCAATAGCAGTAAATGAGAAACTTTTTGTTTATCTAATCTTACGTAGATGAAAATTGTGTGTGTGTATAGGTGATGCACACATGCATTCCACCAGGATCTTTTCTGTATTCTGTGTGCCAAGTCACACTTGAAGAGATTTGTAAGAATAGGCATTTTATATCATATCGTCTTTCAGAGGACTTCACAGCCTTGTAACTAACTATATCACTTGTTGCATAGCAACTCATCCCAATCTCCAGGATGCTTCAGCTTCTTTATTTATGCTTTTCTCTTTTACTTTTCAGAATACCTATACTAAGAATATTTCCCAGCTTACCTTGGACCCTGCTTTTTTCTAGAGAGTATATCTAATAACAAGAATTCAGGCTTATTAAAAACAAAAAAGACAAAACATTTTGTGATTGGAAGCCTTCTAAATCATGTCATTTATCATTGTCTGAGCTTCAGATTTCTCCATGGACTTTTTGGTTAACATTAAATAGGTCTGAGGCAATTTAGTTAACCTTTCTGTGATTAAGTTTCTTCATGTGTAGAACTAGAATAATAACACCACTTATTTAATGGAATTGTGAGGATTGCATAAAACACTTTGCACAGTGCCTACCCTACAGTAATCTCTTACTAACTGTGACCTTTTTTCCCCAAAACTAAGTCAGTAACTATCCAAGAAGATAAAATTGAAGTTTATATTTTTAAAATGAATTACGACTGTATCGTATTCTCAGAGTAATTCCAAATTTAGACACAAATTCATCCCAGAAGTATACCTTTTTTTTCAGATTTTAGATGTGAACTTATTTATTTGCCACACTTTAAATATTCTATTTTTGACTGGATTCAGATTTGGAAGTAGAAGCTCTCAGAGAGGACAGCCTCCATCTCTTGGCGATCTGCTCCTGGCGTTTTTCTTTGGCCTCCTTCATTCTCTTGGCCAAAAGCTTAGCATACTCTGCAGCCTCCTCCTTATTCTTAGTGCGCTGTTTCTTCAGCAAAGTGCGGTGGTGCTTGTGCTGCAGGACACGTGGAGTAACTAGACACTGAATCTTGGTCCTGGGGTTTCTTGCCTTCTTTGTTCAGTGGCTTTCTCACAACATAATTGATAGACATCATCTTCCTTGGAGAGATTGAAGAGTTTGCAAATTCTGCTGGCTCTCCTGGGCCCCAGGCGATGAGGAACAGTGGTATCAGTCAGTCCTGGGATATCCTCTTCCCCTTTCTTGACAGTGACCAAGTTAAGAACACTCAGATTGGCATCCACAGATTGGCAATCCCAGACAGATTTGCACTTCTTCTCTCCAGTTATCCGTGGTCTGTAACAAGAGTGCCCCTTACTCAGCAGCAGGCAAACTCAGCCATGGGTCAAGACACCTGCTTCCTGAGAAAACCTTGCTTGTCGTTTCCACCCCTGATCTGGACAACATATCCCTTCCATTCATCACTGAGAGAATCAACAGCAACTTCTGTGGCCATTCGCTTCTCATAAAATGTATGAAGTTTGAATTCATTGTCCACGTTTTTGGCAGCCAGTGGTGGAGAAAGAGATGTTCAGCTTCATGGTAAAGTAGCCCACTGCCCCAGCAGCACCATGAAAAAGAACCAGAAATTATTTTATTTTAATGAAAGTTTACAGAGACTTTGGATTTCCACTCATTCATTGTTACACACTTTCCTCCCTACCCACCCCTCCTCCTCCAGTTTGCTTTTCTCTTTGAAAAGTTAAAAAATAAAAATAAAAATTGTTATACAATCCCCTGGCCCCCTGTCCACTCCACTATGCAGCTTTCATTCTGGACTCTTATCATGACATTAATACCTAATTATATATTCCTCTTAAACAGTTCTCTCCCTCATCTGTTTCAATGCAGTAAACATTATTTATCACCTCTTAGTTTCCCCCCAACTCCTATGTCAGTCCCACATTACAACAGTGGCACTAGGCGGTATTTGTCCTTTTGTGACTGAGATATTTCACACAGTCTAATGTACTCCAGGGTCATCCATTTTGTATAATATTTCATGAGTTCTTTATTTTTCAGTGCAGCATAAGTATTCCATTGTGTGACTATACCAAAGCTTCTCTATCCATTCGTTTGTTTGGGCACTTGGGTTGTTTCCAACTCTTTGCTATTGTGAACAAAGCTGCACTAAACATGGGTGAGCATATATCTGCTTGGGTGGCAGTTCTAGTTTCTTTAGGGTAAATTCCCAGTAGTGGAATTACTGGGTCAAATGGTATTTACAGACTGGGAAAAAAATATTTTCTTGTCTGATATTTTTCATGGCTGATAAGGAACTTTATCGAGAATTCATAAAATACTTGAGCACCACAACAAGATAAAGGAAAACAACCCAATTGAAAAATGGACACAGGATATGAATAGACACTTCACCAAAGAAGACATTCAGATGGTGAACAAATACATGAAGAAATATTCAAAATCCCTAGCTCTAAGAGCAAATCAAAACAACTATGAGATATCCTCTCACCCCATTAAGAAGAGCAAAATTTAACAGAACAGCAAACACCAACTGCTGACGAGGTTGCAGAGAAACTGGAACCCTTATTCACTATTGGTGGTAGTGTAAAATGGTGCAACCACGATGGAAGGCAGTATGGCGCTTTCTCAAAAAGTAGTGTACTTCTGTATCGCTTGCCGGTGCCTGATGATCTGATAGCCATTTGTCCCATATGCCCAGTTACTTGTTTATAATCCTAGAAATGCATATTCTCCCAACATGAGGATTGTTCATAGATTCTCTGACTTTTGTGTACCTTCTGTCAGAGTCCATTCCAGCTAAGAGACCCCATAGGACAGAGTAGAACTGCCCATAGGGTCTACAAGGCTGTAAATCTTTACAGAAGCAGATTGCAGTAGCTTTCTGCAGTGGAGGGACTGGTGGGTTTGAAATGCAAACCTTTTGAATAGCAGCTAAATTCTTTTCTTCTCCACTTTTAAATCTTAAAAGGACAGTAATGATTTCCTTTAAAGAGTGTTTCCACTCTTGAGCTAATCATGTTGTTGAATCTAATTCTATCTATTCATATGTTAATATAGATCTGAGGCAGAGGCTATTGTCTCAGAGAAGTTAGAAGTTAATAAATAACTGAGTTATTTAGATTGCAATTTATACCCTTCCCCCAAATATAGATGTTAGCTATCATCCTCTGCCATCTATTAAAAGTTACTAGTTTTGCGTAGATGATTGATAGAGTCATTAACACCACCACACTCCTGGATTTTATTTTCCCAGAACTGATTGACTGGCATTAGTGGTTTGCTCTACCAAGAGCAAAAGAAATATACTAGATTTTATGATAGCTAAATATTTTTCAACTTGGATTTTCTTGTTTTGACATTTTATTTATTAAAATACCAAGTTACTTAGTATTGTGTCAAACTGTTGGGGTTTTTTTACAAATTGAATATTCTTCAAAGAGTGGAAAAATAACCTGTTATACCAGGAAGTTAAACCTTCTAAAATTCCAAAGGCGTAAAGGAGAGAATTAAATAAAATCTTACCTTTGAAATAGCGTGTTAGACATTTTGTGTGTCTTTAAAAGTTCACCAGTCTCTGTTTGTTTGTATATGGAGTAATTCTCAAGTCTTTGTGCCGAGACATTTTAGTGTCAGAGTAACAAGGCATAATGAATCAATCAAGCAGGATCTATTGATTAATTGTTTTATAGGAATAAATAGTATGATTAATAATAACATAAAATAATGTTATTGTTGCTGTGTCCTGTAGAATCAGAACTTACTCATACCTGACCTTCCAGTGGGTTTTCAGGGGCTGTAAATTGCACTGGGGAAGATTGCCCATCTTTTTCCAGTGTAGCAGCTAGTGGATTCAAGCTGTATGCTTTGAATTGACTGCTCAGCTCCTTACCACTAAGCTGCCAGCACTCTCTAAATTTAAATGCAACATATAAGATATAGATTCATAAAGGATAATTATCTAGTAGTGAGCATTATTGAGAAAGCTGTAAAAGAAACTCTTAGAAATAACATAATACTCTAATTGTAAATCTGCCTAAGTAATATTGAATGAATTATGTGAGTTTATTAATTCTCTGGTTAAAAAGTAAAAAGTTGCACCTTTTTTTCCTTTTTCTTAAATAAAATTTTTATTTTATACTGGTTTACTTATAAAGTTCATATACGTTGTTTTCTTACACAGAATCTTTCCCATTTCTTTTACCCACCCCTCCTTCAACCCACAAATTGTGTGACCCTATGATTACCTCCCACCATCCTCACCTTTTTTCTCTCCCCTCCCCCTTTAGATCCTTAGACACATTTTACTACTTACTATTTCTACAAGAATGCACTTATGCAGTATTTGACCTATGGGACTGAGTTAGTTTACTTAGCATAATGCTCCTTTTTCTTAATGTTTGTTTCTTCTAGATTGTCAAAAGAGTGGGTACTAGTGAGGAAACACCAATGATTGGAGACAAAGTTTATGTCCATTACAAAGGAAAATTGTCAAATGGAAAGAAGTTTGATTCCAGTCATGATAGAAATGAGCCATTTGTGTTTAGTCTTGGCAAAGGTAAGAGGGTATTTTCTGTGTTGTGCTTATTTTGATTTGTATTATACAGATGCAGTCTGGCCAGTAGTAAATGTATTTCAGAACTGTAATTCTCAAAGTCTGGCTCACAGACCCCTGATGGTCTCTGAGATACTTTCAGGGAATCCATGTTGTGAGAAATTATGTTCATAATGCTTGAGTGGCTTCTTGTTGTTAGGTGCCATCTATTGGCTTAGTGGTAAGGAATTATGCTACCAACAAAAAGGTATGCGGTTCGAATCCACCAGCTGTTCTGCAGGAAAAAAATGGGCTGTCTCCTCCCATATGATTTATTGCCTCTGAAAACCTGCTGGAGGGACATCTGTGAGTCAGTTGTGACTCAATGGTACGCAACTTGCCTTTTTACTATGTTGATGCTTGCTATGATGATTAAAAAATTATAATCATTCAAACTGTTGGTACTGTACTACAAATCAAGGCAGTGCCACCAGAGAGAGGTTGCTCTCTCTCTCTCTGTTTTTTTTGGTTCATTTATTTACTTTTTAGAAAATGAGGATAAAACATGCCACTTTCACCTAATGTATTTGTGATAAAACAATTGTTATGTGTGCTATTGAGTCAGAGATGACCAATAGCTGAGCCTCCAGCAGGTTTTCAGAGACAGTGTATCACATGGAAGCGTATAGCCCATCTTTCTCCTGTGGAGCAACTGGTGGATTCAAACCACGTGCCTTTGGGATTGCAGCACAGCTTCTTACCAGAAGGCCACCAGAACTCCTTGATAAAGTAGTAGAAATTAGTAATTTTATTAAATTCAAACTTTTTACTTGCACCTCATTTTGGTATGGAAAAGTATGACTACAGAAAGCAAAATGCCCTGGTTGTCTCAAGGGAAAGCTCTTGTACACTTATTTCAGTTGGAAGCTTAGCTAGCTGTGGTGTTGGGGTTTTTTCCCCCCAGTGAAATACCATTTTTTATTTGAAAGAACAACTGGCAGCCCATCTATGATTCTTCAGACTCTGGTGCTTGGCAGATATTTTCTTAAATTACTCAAGTGAGCGCATCACTTTAGGAAAACAAGTAACAATGTCTGTTGCTATTGATAAAATTTCAACTGTCAAGTGAAAAGTGACAATCTTAGAAAATTTGTATTTGTTTCCCTGACTGTGACAGCTTCCCCAAATTTGAAAGAGTTGTGATAAGATCAGTCATAATATTAATGTATGTGAGTTTTTAGTATTGTAGAATGAAGTTATTACATTTAAAAGATCTGAACATTTAGAATTCAGTAACCAATATTTTCCCAGGGATGACTAAAAGATAAATGATCCAGTCAAAGTGTAAGGTAGACACATAAATTTTTGTTGTTGTTATTATCCTAATATTTTCCTTTAAAATTTATTTTGTCTTTTGTTGTTGAGAATATTCACAGATTAACATACACTAGTTCAACATAGAGCAGTAAGTATTAATGTAACAAAGTGAATGTTCATTATTTGGGTTCTAGATTCCAAAAGCTACAAAATTTTATTACCACTTACCCAGTTTTGATGTAGTATCAGGGAATTAATTCACAATTATCTGAAAAGGCTGTTTAAATATTCATTCATTTTCTCACAGTGAAAACTATGAGAAGCAGACAGAACTCAATGGGATTGCCTTATTTTTTCAAATCTGGCAGGGATTTTTTAGCTTGACAGGGTGTCGTCTTACTACTTTTCTATCACTCCATTAGTAGAAAATGTTTTGCTTCTCTGACAGATGGCTGCCTGACACTGAATTCCAGCTTTTGCAGGTTTTATTGTATATATCTTTGTGGTGGTACATTTTTTCCTTGTACTTCAATCAAAATTAAATCATATTGAATGCAAAAGTAAATTTGAAAATCTGGTTATCAAATACTGAAGAGATTTGTAAAAATATTATAAACAGTGCTACTTTTCTCATTGATTTTTTTTTAAAGTTCTTTTTCATAAAAGTGACTTCTTATTAGTGTGAGGTTACTTTTAAATTAACACGTTGCCGCAAATGACGGCATAGTGTTTCTAAGCATGGTCATCAATTTAAAAGTGTGCGGCAATGTGTTAATCAATTTTGAAAGTTTCTAGTAGTACTTAAGGGAGCTCTGGCAGGGATTAGCACTGCTAATCCAAAGGCTTCACTTCTCTGGCAGTTCTAATGTCCTGGCTACTTTGGTGAAGATGAACAGTCTCCTTCCATGTGATTTATAGCCTTGGAAACCCAATACAGGGCTGACTAGTGAGTCCGTTCTGACTCAGTGACAGTGAGTTTGAATTTTGAGAATATGGTATCTTATCAATAGCCATAAGTCAGGTGCTTATCTTAGTTTAAGAGTTAAAGAGGTCATTCAGAATATAAGATGAAAGAATTGCTATTTATAAATCTAAAATGTGTTTTTAACTAATTTCTTTTCAAATATTTTAAAACGTTGTACAAGTACTTTGTATTAACTGTTTACCATTTACTAATTCAGTATCTTTATTGGCCAGTTACACTGCCAACCCAAAGGCACAGGGTTTGAATCCATCAGCTGCTCCTCTGGAGAAAAATGGGCAGTCTCCTCCTGTGCAATTTACAGTCTATGAAAACTGATCAGAGAGTCAGCTGTGGGTCACTGCCAGTTCAGTAGCACATAACAGCAACAACATAAGGGAATAGTAGAACATACAGCAAAGTGAACTTTTTGGACCATGTTTCTTATTGGCTTTAGTGCTTGAATCATCACTTCTTACTCTCATTTGTCATCTAGCTCATTCCCAGATTATGTACAGGAGAAAAGACAGTAGTAATTTTTCTGTTCACCACTACAGCTTGATGTTGACTATAAATCCTTTTCTTTTCCTGATTGAGCACCTAGTTGAATTGCTAAGTAAGCATGGATCTAGGCATTAAAATCACAAAAGAGGATTTCAGCTCTGCCTCTGTCCTCCCTCGTCACTTGTGTTTGTGCTTTCTGCTCCCATGCACTATGTTCTTTCCAGCCTTTAGTGCTTTTGCTCTTTTAGTACCTTTCTCTGAGTCCCTAGTGAGTTACGGGTGTGTGTGAGATAATAATCACAATCAAATACAGATGATTATACATTTTAGAAGTTTTCATTTTTGTTGATTTAGGGATGTGAATCTTCCAAGCTACCAGCAAGGATGTGGCATCATTTAGATGACCTCAGAGTGGCTGGCCTTATCAGATGTCCCTGATTTTAGAAATCTTTTTGGAAAAAAAGTTGATATATTTGAGATAATAGATCTTCTCTCAGCAGTTATCTTGGCAAGTGGAGTTGAGAATTTATATAGCCACCTCTCTATCCAGTTTTTCACAGTGAAAAGTTGGTGGTGACTGAGCCTTCTGTGTTTCCAAGATTGTTGAACATAGTAAAAAAAATTTTTTTTTCGTTCTTTTTCTAAAATTGTAAGTTAGGAGAGAAATGAAGTGGTTTTCAGATGGCTCGATATCTATGACACCTTCTTAGAGACAGTGAGGGAAGAGCACTCCCCCCCACAAGTGTTAGGAAGTAAAGCCTTCTCTTCTGTTCCCTGTGGCATGTTAACTTGAGTAAGCCACCTAACTCTCTTGTATCCTCCTTTTTAAAGATGTAAAATCG